AATTCTTCTCAAATCAACTGTCAACCGATTTTCGATTAATTTAACTCAAATTAATCGTTAATCGAATTGTTTTTATTTGAATTAATTGTTATATTAATTGTTATATTAATTGTCAATCCAAAAGTTTCGTTTAAATATATTCAATATCAGTTATTAATTGAATTGATTTTTAATTACATTCGTTCTTGTTAATTATAAATCTTAGAAGTTTTAATTGATAATAGAATCAACCCTGATTAAGATTTTTATCTTAAAATTTTCAAAGAATCCGCTCTTAAAAGGGAATTCTGTGATGTTAATACATTCTGTATATGCATATAGGATGCTCCCTAATTATTGATACAATGATTGTATCTACAAGTAGAGCGGATTAAACTGAGTCGCAAAGTTTTGTCGTCGTACCAGTTTGTATTTTTTTTGCAATAGTTAACAAAAAATTAATTACTAACAAATCGCCAAATAAATCTGGCCTAAATTTAGGCACGCGGCGAGATACGGTCTCATAATAGTTGTTAAGCGCGCGAAGAGTTGTTTACTACAAGCGGTACTTAATGGTTACGCACGAACAACACGTGCTGCTGGACCCCGCTGTAAGCTATGATTGTCCCCTGTCTTTCTTATCAAAATGAAATCTAACAGCGTAGGAAAAATGTATTTAAAATTAAAGTATTCAATAGTACAAGGCACAATTAGAATTAATAAAATAAGGGACTACGACTCAGAGCTAGACGTTAATACTAAATTATTAAGCCGATAATACTTGTTATAGAATAACAAACATTTTTTTTTTATTGGGTCTCCTGGCGAAGAAAAATTTTATGAGAAAGTAGAAAAAAATTATATAGATTGAGACAAGATCTTAATATTTTTTAATAGAAAGAGAGTGAAATATTCGTAATGAGACGTAGAATTTCGTCGTAGAAAAGCATTATTTGTTTCGATACAAGATACGAAAAAATATTTCATAAAAATATAATACAGTATCAGAAGACGTATACAGAAAGGGCGGAGGATTTCTTAGTTTTTCAAATAAACAATGCTATTCTACGTCCCACTACGAATATCTAGGAGAAACTAAGAATTTCTAAGATTTTGTCTCAATGTATGTATATTCTGTTCAATGAGAGAATGACCTCAGATCGGACGAAAATTCATCCGTTTTACGCAGGTCTTCATAGCGTTGTACAGCGTTACATTGTTTGCTATGCGCAAACTGAGGTCATTCTTTCGTTGAACAGAGTATAATTTTTTGTAACAATTTTTTTCCTAGGGGTGCCTTGTCAACTATGGTGATTATTAAAAAAGGTTAGTTGAGTTTAATGTTTGAATTTTTTATCCATTATTTTTCACTTAACTGCCATCATATATATATGTACAGGATCGGCGATATATAAATTCTAACAAACATAAATTTTTAACGAGTTTTTTATTGGCGATATCTTAATGAATAATGCTGCATGCTCTGATAGTCTGATTCTCGACGAAATTTCATTCTTTTTTCTGGGCGATCAATTAAATGTGGCACAGGACCACAATTAATGTGAAGATAGACAAATACGTATAATTATCTAAATATATATATATATATATATATATTTTTTTATTATATATATATATATATATATATATATATATGTATATATATATATATATGTGTATATAAAATATGTACATACGTGCACGCATATAATTTACGAGTTTTCTTATGTAAATGTAGAAGTACAAAAATTAGAGATATACATAGATTATAGAGAATAGACGTTAAGATCCAAAAGGCTGTCTAATTCGTGTGAGTCGTTTTACAATCGTTTTGAATTTTTGTTTTGCAATATATAATGATCAAATATCATGAGTTCGATCGATAATGTCGGATCCGGAAATTTCACACACGATTTGATCCGATTGCATTCTGTAAAATAAATTTTCTATGGAAAGAATAAAAGAAGTTTACAGGGACTTATTCTGTAAAAATCACTTAAAAATTGAAGCCAAATTGTACTTTTTTAATAAATAGAATGCTACGAAATTAAGAAAAAAAGATAAAGATTTCATGCTTGATTGATGATTCATAATAATAACAAATTCGACTCACACTACATATACCGATATACTACCGATTTACTTTTCATCTACAAAATGATGAAATTTTTTTTTTTATTAAAATAGATTGCTTTTGTCGATTATAGTAATTTGAATTTATGTGCATTAAAATTATTTTAATTTTTTGGATTTAATTATTTGTCGTGATGTAATCCGCAAAATCATAGAATTTAAGATAATAACGATTTTTTTATTATCCTCATCAACAAAATCCGATTAATATGGTATTGAATCTCATTTCAATGTTCCACTAAATTATAAAATATTGGATTATTTTTGCGCCTTGGTTATAACATAAATATATATTAAGTAATGTATTCATCAATTGAAGAAATGGTACACGTAACATAGCAGACTCGTAATTCAGAGGTCCCAAGTTTGATCTCACTCTAAGATAAGTGTATTTTTTAAAACCAATTTAAATATCTAATTCAGGTAAAATCACCATACACTAAGTATAGACATCTTGTATAAACTATGTACTAAGTATAAATATCTTGTATAAAATAATTTCAGTTAAAAAATATAAGTCTTAAATATGAATCACTGTTTTTTAAATCGTGTGAGAATCTATTAAAACCGTTGTATTAAAATCGATTTAAATGTTATCCGCAAGACCATAGAATTTCGGATTACAATGAACGGATTACTTTGTCATCCTTATAATATTGGCAGAGTCTAATTCACATTGCATTAAAATCAATGTAATTATAACTTATGAAGTTCTATAATTTCGAAGTGATTTTATCACTCGATGTGTGTGTGTGTGTGTGTGTGTGTGTGTGTGTGTGTGTGTGTGTGTTTTATCTAATGGGTTTAAATCGAATTTAATATCTTATTTTCAGTGCAAAAATCCCGATTCAGATTACTTCTTTTTTTAAATCGGTTTTAATCGAATATTTTTGGTAGTACACTCAAAGAAGATAAAATTATAGTGCTTTAAAAAGATATAAAGAAGTATTATAAAAATATGCAATAAAAAATATAGACTTCCATTTAAAAAATTTAACTGACCTTGACTTTAGCGACACCAGATCCAAGATCAAAGTCATAAGTCTAGATAATAGATAAATAGATATTTTTATACTTTATACAAATTTTAAAACACTTTTTTTAACTTACAATTTTCGAGATTTTTCAGGGTTTCCATACCCTATATTTTTCATTACCCTATATTAATAAGAATTCATATAATTAAATGTCTAAAATAGAATTAGAAAAAATTTACGTAAGAGATCCCAAAATTTCTATTTTAAATAATTGAATTATTTAATTCTATTTAAAAAAAACAACAAAGAAATTTGTAGTTTTTTAAGAAAATATTACAAACTTGGATTAATCATGATTTCAAAACTAGTAATTTAACACGTTACAGAATAATTCCCTTTAATTCGTTTAATGTTTACAAGAATATCTGACATTTATTCTTAATTATTATTGAAATTAAATTCGCATTTAAGCTGTTTTAAGCTGTAGATAAATTTAAAAAAATTTTGAAGTATAAATCACAAAGAAACAGGCAATATATATCGCCATATATAGGTCATTTGACATACAGCAACAACTTTTTAAGGGATAATTGTATGGAAAGATCTAGCATTCTCCTTTATATGTTAATTTACAATATTCTTAAGACTAATCTATACGTTAAACTCTAGTAATAGTCAAAACTTGTGACCCTCAGTTTTTAAAAGGCAATGGATTATATATATCCAAAGAATCAATATGTTATATTTATTAGGAAGTTATGGCAATTATGTAGGATTGTATTACTTTTTTTACTGATGCAACGAAATCATTGTATCTACCAAGTCTTGTCCTCAAATTAATTCCGACATTATCGAATACCATAATCGGACTTTGATTTTTCATCGCATGGGCTGCATTGCACATGAAATGTATCATAATCGATCGATTGATTAGCATGTCAGTGAAAAAATACATTCTGCATCTTCATTTACAGCGATAATTGTGCATCAACTTTGTGTATTTTATGGTAATTATTTATATACGACATTTGATGTATAAATTAGTGTAGAAAAAGCGATATAATGTTAAAAATATTCAAAATTTATGAATCATTTCTAAAAAGAAGTCGATAAATATTTTTATAATAAATGAATTGCGCGAATGATAAAAAAATAAAAAGCGTTCCATGTTTTGCTAATAACTGCATGATTGATTTCGAAGTGATTGTATAGCGTTAAGCGTTTATAGTTTAGTTCCATAGATTAATTTGTAATATAAATTCTAAGAGAGAAAAATATTTAAAATATTCATAAAAGAGATCCAAAATGAATTTAATTGCTTTGAAAGAGTAAATTTCATAGAAAGAGATATGTAACAGAACACATAATTTTGTTTCGCATTTCAGTCAGCCGCAATGATTCTCCTTAATTAGGAGAAATCTCCTATCTATCTATTTAGAAAGAAGATTTAATTGCATGTTGAAGTCGATTGCATTTTCACGATTTCTCAAGTAATAATCTAAACGTAAAATTTACCTGATGCGTTCTAATTATCCATATCACAATTTACGTAAACGATGGTGCAGATCACTTTGGAGCTCATTCGTACTTGACAATGAAGTTAATATAATGATTAACTGAATAATTGTAATAATTGGTTTGCGCGATTCAGTAGTATACATACATACAATAAATTGCATCATCAACAACATCGCGTGTTCTAAATGACCGTTAACAATAAATAGGGTGCTCTTACAGTATGCATCTTTATGGGATTTTATCTTATTTTATATAGATTATATCTGCATATTCTCTTTCCAACAATAAATACATCAAAGAAGGGCGGGCGTAACACAGAATTTTATATATGAGAAGATTCCAGGTCATAATCATTTGAGACTGTTTCGCAAATCATTATTCCAATTACTTTTGAGTGGAACGCGTTCTATTTCTACTTCCTGAGAGGATGCCACATAGCGATCGGACGTCGCAAGGCCATTAGCATTTGTCTCCAATGAGCCAATGCTTTTCCCATCGAGGTAGATCCTATAATGATGTGCCCTACGGAGTATGTCTTGGAATTTGTTCCTTGGTCACCGTTTATTTCTGCCACTGTCAATCTCAATTGTATAGTCTGCGAAGAAAGACAATCATAATTATTTGATAAAGATATGTTTAAAGAGAAAGGATATAATCAAGTACTTTAGATAGAAAATATAGATTTATTTTTACATGTAATATTCATTAAAAAATTTAATAAGAAAATTTATCTGCTAAATAAATATTATCAAATAGAAAATATTGTTATTAATCCGAAATTTTTAGCTTTAGCAATTCGTATTTATAAACATTACTCTTTTTGGGAATTAAATCATGTTTTTACTGTGATTATGAAGATTGTTGTTATTAAAAAAAAAATGAAAATTTAATCAAAACCTGTAAAGTATGCGCTGGCACATTGAATATTATAGCCTCGTTGAAGATTGGACTTTTTTCACCTTTTTTTACAGATGTTCTCTTTTTATGCATTTTTTTCCCTTGTTGAAGAAGATATACCTTAATAAAAAATATTATAACATTTTTAAAAATCTGTTTATCGAAAGATGCACATATAAAAATGCGATGCCTGAATTACCTTGACGAAGAAATCACCCGAAGATGAATTTGCGCCGTGCAAATTGCGCGCTTTAACTACTACGAGGGTGAGTCTCTCCGCCGTTGGCAAGTAACTGAGAGAGAACATCAATTCTCCTAAATGAGGAATGGGTAAAGCAGATCCACTGAGTGCTAGCCAAGTCGTAGCTGGTGGTCTAGCTGCGGGTCCAAGTTTCAAATTGGCTTCGCCAATTAAAGACGCGCCGCCACTGATATTAGATTCATCAGAAAATACCTGAATAATAAAAAAGAGAATTTTATTTGAATTCAAATCTGAAATCATCTAAATTAACATTTAATAGAAAAATATTATAATTCATTCGTTTACCTCAACAAGAAGTGTTTTGCCTGTTGGGCCTTCATCGAGAGGAAATAAAAATTTCTCTTGATAACTAGGCGATGGACTTCCTCTATAAATTCTTGTTTGCACATGGGTCTGCCTATCGGGTAGTAAACATACTCTACAAAGAAAAAATAATCTTTGAATATTTCCTAAAAACTTAATTAATTATTAATCAGTTGTCTCTAAATTAATTTTTTTTATTTATTTTTTATTTTAAAAGAATTACAAAATATAAATTTATTGAAATATGTCATAAAGAATATCGCAATATGGCGTGCAGTAATAAGAGATTCTATACTTATATGCTAGAATCTATATTGGATGAATCAAGACGATCGAACAAGAGATTATTTCACATGCAAAAATATGTCGAAAATGTAGAATAAAAATGTTTATGATGCTTCGTTTTCGTAATAATTAAATTTTAATTCATTGTTCTATGCGATGATGTTCCATTTGGTACGCTATAGGTACACTCACTACACCATACTATCTCTCGCATATCACTTGGAGAAAACAATATCAATTGATCTAGATTTTGATAAATTATATATATTTATAAAAATATATATTTTTATATATTTTTATAAAAATTATATTTACACAACAAGAAATAAAATCTACAATGGTCAAAGTTGCATCTTAGACGCTTAAATATTTCCATGTGAATTTATATACTACATATGTAGCCATTTTGAACTGCGCGCCGAATTGATTTTTTGGACTTAGAAACGAAATTAAATTACAATAGTAATATTACAAATTATATTGATAAGCAATTTAATAATTTGATGTTCTATTAGGCATCCTATTAGAGAGATCTTAAGGTTGTAAATAAATTTATTGCGAAAAATATTACTTCGGCCAGAAGTCGAACTCAGATCTCTCAGCATTCCTTGCGAGCGTTTTACCTTTAGACCACCGAGGCTTTGGTAATATTCTTTGCAGTAATCGATATATATTATAGGAACATACTCATTTTTTAAGTAGCGTGTATAGGTAAACAATAATGAACGATTATTAAGACGTATAATGTAAATACATAAAAACAAGTAAGAGATAAAGTCTATAACAATCGAAGCTGCATTTTAGACCGTTAATAAGTTTTAACTCTACAATAGAAGTCGTAGCGATCGTAGAGTTTTAAGTCATAGAAAATTGACCAATCACCGTCAAATATGTGAAATAATCAACGTTATACGGTCATAAATCATTTGTTAAAACGTTTTTTTCAATATAGAGGAGAATTGCGGTAGAGGAGAGTTGCTGAATGCGTACTTATTTTTTATTATATTTTCTATTTGGCACTGTTTTGTATGCAAATGAACATTAGAAATTATAGCATAAGCATTTCGGATACTTATTCTTATATGTTTAAATAACAATGTTTTAATAACAATTAATTTGTTATAAATCTTTTTGTAACATTCTATAAAAGATAAATCTTTTAAATTGTATTTTCTTTGAAAGTTTTGAATTTATTAACAAAAATATTGTAATTAAAAGTGTAAGATTAATAAAGGAAATCATTAACTTTTTAATTAATATTTATAATAATTAACTATAATCTTTAATTTTATAATTAATTTAAAAAGATCAAGTATTTTATAATTATTAAATAACAATAGTGAAAAAACAAATGACGTCAAAATAAAATTGGCTGAAATATTTTTTGGCACTTGACAATTGGCATTTATATTTATATCAATTATTAATTTTATTATTGTCAATTATCAATTTTATCCTGTAATGGTACGATTTAGGAAATTTGATGTATTTTTTAAAAATATCGATTTTTATGTATATACAAAATAAAAATATGTATAAATATATTAATGTATAAACATGTATATACAATAAATAGAAAATATTCTGCAATAAATCTTCTTTTATGAAAATACAAAAATTTATAATAAAATTAGATTACGTTATTATCAGCAATATAAGTTGATCAAATATCAGATATTCCTGATTTTTTTAAAACGTCGCTAACATCCATAAAACAAGATTACTTTTTTTCTATATTATTCATTTCTTATTTATTTTATATTATTGTTGTCAAATGTTGCTTATTAAGTAATATAAAATATTGATGAAGTAAGATTTAAGAGACCAGTACGCATTCGTTAACTCTTCCCTACTAGTACGCAAAGAAAACGTTTACCTTACGAAAGTATCTTGCGCAGAAGAGCCATCAGCGGCAACAAGATCTCTGGCTTCTAAGACGCTTACAGCCAGATCGCCTTCACAGTCGTTTCCACGACCACTCCATCTTTCATATTCGAGTCCGACACAAATGTGACCTACGATGGGTGCTTCTTCCAAATCGTTTAAATTGACGCTAGTATCGGAACATACGCTTTCACAACTGATAGCTCTTTTTAAAGTGGATTCATCGGGAGGTGGTTCCGGTTCGGGACCTAAAGAACTTCGACGATTTCCTGATCTGGCATTATTGTGATCGTTTATCGCATAACCCAAATATGACTCCTCCAGACTCTAAGAATCACAAATGATATACTTCTTATTTTATACTGTTTGTGAAGTGATTTGTAATGTTTTTGAAGAAAATTTATCATTGCCTGTGAAAGTCTTCTCTTCAATTGCACTTCCTCTAAAGCGACGTACAGTTCTTGGCTACTTCTTCTCCTACAAAAGCGGATTATGCAAATATACATACACACGGATATACATGCATTATAACATGAATATATTTCTATTTTATAATTCAATTTCATTGAAAGACAGATTATAATTTAAAGAATATTGTGTAATTTTTTATGATAATGTCCATACCTCGAGAGATCGGTAGCGTCAAGTTCTATATATTCGTGGATGCCATTTAGCCTTTCTATACTTTTACGTCTTTGTTCAAGACTATTAAAAATATCCTAGAAAGTTATTTTTATTATGAAATTAAATACATTGTACCATCAAATATTTTTTATCATCTATATAATCCAATTTCTTCTTTATTAAAAAAAGGTATATACCTCTGATGTGCGGGTAAAACTGGGATCTGATAAATAAGACTCGTGATTATGATCTTTAAGCAATAGGGGAGACGACGGTGGATCTTGTAGACTGTTGTACACCTGCAGGTAAAAAAACAAAATTAAAAACAAGGCAAAAAGAAGAATAAATTACACTATCCGACATTTTTAAACTTTTTTTCAGGCATTTTAAGCAATGGAAACTGATTTCGCGATAGAGTTTTTTGTCCTAGATTCTAAATCTGAAGAGAAAAGTAGTAAATTGACTTTAATTTTTGAAAAAATATAATGGAATAAAAAATGCAAAAAAGAGATTTTTGATTATTTTTTAGTATTAGTAGAAAAATAATGCGAGCCAGTAGAATTTCGAATTTTTTTAAGAGGGATAAACGAAGTCTTTTAAGCTTAGTCTTTTAAAATGCGAAAAATCCGATGTTATGTTATTGGAATATTCAAGACTACTTCTATAGGAGCGCACACCAATTCTAACACAGATTTTCCTTTCCGCATGTACTGTTCTCTCCTGTTCTCTTTCAATATGTTTCTTATTATTAATCTAGGTATTTTTATAAGTATTTTTGTCTCTTACGAATCGGATTATAGCCTTTATAGCGTTTATTAGTAATTAACTAGAATAGCTACATTAAAATAGCTTACTGACACATTATAATACCGATATCATATGATACCGTATGACAAATGATGTGAGCTAGGATACTCACAAAAAAAGCACTTCAATTTAGAGACAAGGAACAAGGATACTCATACAAAAGCACTCGGATTAATAAGAGGCATGTTGAAGAACGCGTCTAGAGGAAAAAAGCGTGTACTAGAATTGATGCGCGTTCATATAAGAAAATCTGTTCCCGAGTACTCTAAAGTCATAACATCAGATTTTTTACTTCTTAGTTTAAAAAAGCAAGGTTCAAGCTTTCATTTTATCCTTTTTAGGTTTAATTTGTGCGTTGCTTCTCTATGAATGAAAAAAAACAAAAAAACCATGTTTTTTTTTGCATTTTTAATACTTTTTTTTTAAACTAGATCCAATTTACTGCTTTTCTCTTTAAATTCGGATTCTAAGGAAAAAAACGTATCAAAATCAGTTTTCATTGCTTGTATCAAAATTTGTGTCGAACAGTGTTTCAAAAATGTTATATTAAATAAAAAGCATAAAAGTAAATTATAGTACTTCTTGCGCTGTTCTATGAGCTTCAAGATTTAATTCAGGACTATAAAGATCAGAACTCCGTCTTGAAACATCGAGACCAGACAGGTCTGAATCGGTTTCCGCATAAATTTCTCGCATATCTTGCATGTATTCGGCTTCCTGTAAATGTTCTTCAGTGCTATCATTCATGAATGTCGGCGGCGATGTCGATGGAAATGCAAATTGCTGTACTTGCTGTGCTGAGGAGAGTACCGAACTACGAACAAAAAAGATATTCTAAGTCAATATAACAAAAAATTAATGAAAATTTTTAAGAATCTTTAGAAGAGATAGAGCAGAGGAAAGTTGCCGATACTAACATAGGTCTCTTAAAGAAATACTTTATTTCTCAAAAATCAACTATTACATTTTCTTAATATTGACAAAAACATGATTTGTTTGAATAATTTAAAAAGATAAAATAATTCATATATTTATGCTTGATTCTATACAAAATCAACTAAAAATAATTTTCCAAATGCGAAACTAAAATTCTTACAACTTCTTTTGTAAATTGTATAATTTATAATATATGACTATATTATTGATAATATTACATTGATAATATTTTATACGGGATGAATAAAAGTCCCGGTGAAATATCTCGAAAACAAAGTATTCTTGATAAAAATGATTCAGACAAAAGTTGAAGGGTTTAAAAAATCTATTTGCTAATCATATCGTTCGATCTTGGGTGGCGTCGTCAAGGTCAAGTCAAGGTCACATTGATTTTTTTAAATTTATTCTATTTGTTGTTCTAAAATCAAATAGCTGATATTAAAAGCTTAAATAAAGTTCATCTTTACAATGTTATTCAAAATCATGACCTAAATAATATTTGTTAAGATTAAAGTCATTGGAAATTGTTCCTCTTATTTTCATTTTTACGTCAAAATGAATTTTTAGTACAAGAATGATAAGATTCAATCGCCTTGACAAATGTCCAGTGCATGATCCTGAACAATATTTAAGAAATTTTAATCATCAGTCGAATATCTTGGGTAATACTAATGATACTGTAATTTTCAAACTTTATAACTCGAATTGATCTGGAACAAGTCAGATTAAACTTAGTGGAGAGATGATTATCCGTGTCTTCGATTGTTTAATGGACACAATTAGAATGAAAATTGAGTCATCAATCTGTCTGGATGCACTACATCTATACTCTCTGTTATCAAACAGTTTACATCTGTCCTGTTTGTACTTTGTGTTTCATTCAAGAGTTCTTTTTTTATACTAGTGTTCTTTTATTTCGAAGTGCGCGATCACGAAACTGTGAGGTCGACCATACGTATAATAATATTATAAATTTAATTTTAGTCCCTAGAAGAAATCGACTTTCCGATATAATGTTTGAAACACTAGTGATTTTAAAAAAGCAATTGACAAATAGCAATTGTTCAAACATTTTTATAAGTACTACATAGATAGTATTACAGTTTGATGTAAAATATTATTATATATTAGATAAAAATAAAATTTGTTCACGCCATTTGTTTTTTTTTATAAGAAGTTTAAAAAGTATCTTTTAGATACTTCTATACTGTACCTGTGTTTATACGTAGATAATTTTTTAAAAATGCATTTATACCTCTAATTAGATTTTTTCCATCTTATAAGTGTAGATACTTATAATGCTTAGATATATGTAGATATATAATATCTACCTAGATATATGTAGATATCTATACCTAGATACCTTTCAAAAGGTATTTGTTACAACATTGCCCTCTTGAAGTAAAAAATTTGTCCAAAACATTTGTCGTTATAAACCTTGGTTTTCGTGAGAAATCAATACATCACTAAAATGGCTCACTCTGTATATACAGTTATTTTTGCACTATATCTGTATGTAGTTGTATTCAGAATAAAGTTCACGTATTATCAATACAAAAGTGTTGTCTTCAGTTGCGGAATATTCGTAGCGATTGCTTTATCGCGTTTAAATATAAATCGTACAGTATGAACAATAGAAGAGATCAAAATTGAGTTTAATTATTGAGAGAGAGAGAGAGAGAGAGAGAGAGAGAGAGAGAGAGAGAGAGAGAGAGAAAATTGTTATATTTTATACAGAGAAAATCGCCCGCAATAGTTCAGAAAGTGATTCGGGACTGAAAAAAAAGAAAAAAGCTATATGAACATAAGGCATCTTCCTACTAAAATAAAAAAAAATTTTAATAAAATAAAAATAAAAAAAATGAAATAAAATAAATAAAAAAAGGAAATGCCAAGCGGACTATGCTTCCACATGGTGCATTCTGGATAACGCCAAAATAGTCCAAAATGTAGTTATTTATATTAAAACACTATTAATAAATCATGATTGTGAGTATGAAAAATAAATTGCAATTTTTTAAACATAAAAATGGTTATAACTTGGAAATTACTTAATTCCGGATCTATATTTATATAGCTTTTTTCTTTCTTTTTGGATCCCGAATCATTGCCCGAAGTATTGCGGGCGATTTTTCAATACCCTGTATCAGATGTTGAAAATACATCTACTTTTATCAATTTTTAATAACTCACTTATAAAACTCCGAAGCATCTATGTAGCTCTGTGAAGTAACCGATCTGAGTGCGCTGAAGATTCTTTCACCAGTTGTTGGACTCTTCTTTGTAATGTTCTGAGATGGGTCTGGAGGAGCGGGTGGTGGCGGTATCGGACTCAAAATCGATTCGCTCGCAATTTTCGTTTCGTCCACTATCGGTTCTTGAATTGTATTTGCGAATAATATCGATTCACGATTTGAACGTGTCTGACACTCATTCATGGATTCGTAGACAGGAAGATCGGGTAAGCTCTGAATATATTGCGAGACTCGCTGAAGATTGTGCGACTTGGACAAATCGCTGTGAAATATGTACGAATCAATATCTTCTTGATGATCGGAAGTACTTTTGAATGGAGTCATCTCGATGTTTTGCATATCGTTATTTTTTCTATTAAGATCGCCGTTCAATTCTTCGCTATTCTGAAGCATCTTAGAAATGGTCTGTGGTCCGTATATTGATTCCATGATTATCTGATTAGCTGAATTCGACGAATTCGTCATGTTGAAGCTATCTGAAAATCCTCTGGATTCATTCCTCGTATATGATCGCATGTGATTCCTTTGAACAGTCTCGTAACTATCGTAACTTCTATTGACTTCTTCGTCATTTAACTTGTCACGAGAGTTATCTATGGATGCGTTTACATCGTATCTAAGCCATGCAGGCTCTTTGGAAGGAGATTTAAATTGCCTGTAAAATCGACATACAAAATCGAATAAAAAACGGTTTTATGGTTTTAAACTTTATGATCCAGCTAAATAAATTATATTCGGAAAAATAGGAAAAAAGTTATACCTGATTAATCTAGAATCTACATGGTTCTGACTGGAGTAAGGCGTCATTTGGATGCTCTCCGCTATCATCTTTGCATTGTCGAACACGAAGGTGGGATGCTCGATCGACTGGAAAGGATCGTGATTCTTCAGCGGTTCACTCTGAAAGAGAAACACGGACGGACCGGGGGCTCTTGATCGAATCGATCCTCTTTGCAATGATGGCGGTGGTGTCAATGGACTGGCTTCGTGCATTCTGATATAATCGATAGTACTTGGTGTCTGAAGCGGCGATGGCCTCGGACGAGCGGTCGGTCGTGGTTGAGGTGCGGGCCTCAACGGTTGAGGTGGTATCGTGCTGCCGCAAAGAGGCGGATGTAGATCCCTGTCGACAGCCTCAAATCTGTATAGCATATATGTGATGGTGTAATATATTTTTTTTACCTCACCTCTCCTCCTGTCTAGGAGCGTTCAACTTTTCACGCAAAGCAAGATCCGTCCGCATAAAAAGTCGTTATGCCCCTTGGCAAGGGGAAAATGGGGTGGACCTCGCTTCGCATGGAAAGTCATCGTACACCCCTAGACAGGGAGGGAGATGGAGGGGTGGATCACGCTTCACGTGGAAAGTCATATTAATAAGCCGCTGGGCAGGTAGGAGATGGGGTGGACCTCGATTCGCGTGAAAAGTCGGACGCCCTTTGACAAGTGGGTGGTGAAGTGGAACTCGCTTTGCGTGGAAAGTCGGACGCTCCTTAGCAGGGGAAGATGTCGAGTGGACCTCATTTTGCGTGAAAAGTCGAATGTCCCTAGACATAAGACAGGTGAATAGGTGGGATGGACCTTGCTTCGCGTAGAAAATCGAACGTTCCTATATAATCTGAGAGGAAAGGTGGGATGGACCTCGTTTCATGTGGAAAGTCGAACGCCCTTTAGCAGGGGAGTGTTGAGGTAAACCTCGTTTCGCGTGAAAGTCGGACGCGCCTAGACAAGGGAGATGTGGGGTAAATCTATCTTCGCGTGAAAAGTCGGACGCCTCTTTGCAGGGATGGGGGATGGACCTCGCTTCGCGTAGAAAGTCGGACTTTGTTATATTCTTCTGTGCAGTTTATATTCATTTCATTGTTAATGAATAAATTACTAAGAAAGATACACACAACTTATTTTGAACAGGTAATATAGCAATAGAAGTGCATGCAGCTTATATATGATATCACATAATTACAAAATATTTATTATACTTTTTTGTTAGTAACTTTTTAGCAAAGAACGAACTCGAAATAAAACTTCTTAAAGGTTACTGAACATTTTGAATATATATCAAGATTACAGTTATTGGAATCCAATTTTGTCAACATTTACCATATATTTATTAATTACATGTACGTATTGTACAAATAGATTCTGTATAGAAGCAAAAACAGTTTCTTAATATCATTGCAATATTTTGTAATCTTGAATGGTATTGAGAGGATCATCATGGAACATCTTTATCATTTGTCATATTATCATATTTTCGTTAAGATTTTCAATTATTATTACTTAAAATTATTTCAGGAACACATTATTTTTTAAGAAGTGATTATTGCATTCTGTAGATTGTTCATATCTTTTTTCTTCTTTGAGTAAACAAAATTTTTAATATTATTTACATTAATAAGTAAATGCTTTTAGCTTAATTGTAATATGTAAAGGATATTTATAATTGAAAAAAATAGTTATAATGTGATTTAATTCATTTGATTAATTATACGATATTTATAAAATACGATATTTATAAAATTTTAATTATTTGTAATCTAACCTGGTAAAAGCGCCTTGTGCATCAAGCCGGATGTCGCTATCGCTGTGCAACAGATGTTGAGAGGCATTTCCAGTCTGGCAATATAGACCTGGTATTGTCTGAGCAGTTGGATGCTGAGCCTTTACCAACCCTACCTTTAAATAATATTTACTATAATTGGACATCATTTAAAATGATATAATGATAGTCTATAATAATATTAGACAACAAAAGAAAATTTTAATTCTGCATTTGGCATTTTTGCTTTAACATATGCAAAGTGATTTGAAATAAACGTTTGTCCTTAAATATGTTCAACATTCAAAATCAAATATAAGATATCTGAAAGGTATCTTATGTTCGATTTTAAACATATGTACGTTCTGCCTGGATAAGATATTTTTCAGAAATTTTTATAAATTTAAAATAAAAAAAATATTTTTATATTTTAAAATATTAGAAATTATATATTTTTACCAAAGGAAATCCAAATATAATTTGTGTTTTGAATTACATTACCTTTTCTTCCCGTGGTGCCCAAAGCCAGGAAAGCCTCTGTCTCCATTCCTCGCAAACGCTCCAAAAATTCCTGGTGCTAAATTGCCATCCCGTGCAATATCTACAAGAGAGAGACGAGACTAAATATAGAAACTAATTGCTAATTATCTATGTTATTGATCATCAATCATGAGATAGCTTATTTAAAATTGTAATTCAGAAATATCGAATTGTTAAAGTAAAAAGCATTCAAATTAAAAAAATAAAATCCATAAAATTGTTACACAATTCATTTATATAGAACTTTTGATTGTTGTTTGTTGTAATTCTGAATAAATTTGTCAAAACATTTTATTTTAGTTTAACATTTAATAACAAAATTATACTTTAGAAGTCTAAAGGTAATTTTATTTTATAATTATTTTTAAAAATTATTGTATTTTCTAAACAAAAGCCACAAATATGATTCTCAATTTTTATTAAAAATTTTTACTCTATTGATTGGATCGATGTTATTTTTTGTGTCTTATTTATTACATTAAAATTTTATTATATTGTTATTATTAATGTTACCTTTTGCAAAGGATAAGTGTGACGCTAGCAGAAATGACAATAATTAATGCTACTGCAAGTCCGGTAAAAACCCAACTCATTTTTTGAATTCCAAATTCAAAAAATCCTACGAGATTGTGAAATCTGAAATATATAAATTTACGATACAGGGGAATGTGGTGCACTTAAGGAAAAGTGGAATATTTGTTATAAAAAATGTTTTAAGTATTATTATTATTATTATTATTATTATATGTTGTTATTAAATGTTGTTTATTTGATTCTATTATCAATGTTGCCGCATTAAAGTTATTATTATTATATTATTGAAGTTATTATTATTATATTATTGTTTATCTATTAATACTGAGAATAATCTAATATTAGGTTGAAGCGTTCGTTTTTTTTACTATTTTATTTGAAATATATTATGTATTAAAAATCGATATTGAATATCCAGCTTTAGCTCACAGTTTTCTGTTACATTTTTAATTATATGGTTTTACCTATTGGAAATGTAACGTTTTATTAATTATTTAATTTATTTGCTTATTTTGAATAAAAGATCTGCATTTTTTTATGTATGTTTAACTCTCTTTCTTTAATTTATTTTTAAATTTTAAAAGGTTAAGGGATGGTTATTCCATCTTCGGATAAATCATGTGTAATTTATCTAATGAATAAACAAAAGAATAAAGGAGTAAGAACATAAGACAGAGTTATATTCCTAATTGTGATTTAACCTGAAATCTAATTTAAATTAGAATTAAATCAGATTTTTATTTGAAAAATGCTTTTTAATATGATTTAATAAATCCAAAGTTTGAATTTTGATTCAAATTTAGCTCGTCTGAAATGAAGTGTTCAATCGTGGATCGAGCTATGACTATGAATACGGATCTTGAGTTAGAGTTAGAGAATGAGCTGAAGATTATCGAAAAATGGAGCAAACCTGAAACTAAAACAAGAATGGTTCGAAAAATTTTCGACCTGACACAAAAACAACGCTGTAAATATCAAATTGTTATAATTTTATAGACATTTTATAGACAAGTTTTATCCTGTGTACAGGGTAAAATTTTAGATAAATGCGTCATTAGTTTCTTTATTTCGGTCGTGTAAGGTAAGTTTTGATTCCGTTACTACAATGCACCCGTTCACACTTTTTTAATTACAGTCAACATTATGTAAATCTTAATCTTTTAAAATTTTAAATAAATTTTAAAGAACATTATGTAAATTGCGCTTCGAATTGGCAAATTATAAATACCGCAAGCATTGTATGCGCCATAATTAGTTCACACTTTTTCCTCTTTCCAAATACGAAGAAATGGCTTGCGAAAATATCTGCGGCTCAAATATTAAAATAAGCGATGAAACTAATGCTTCGAAGGTTTAGAAAACTCGTATTATATAAGTATAAAAAAGTTATTAGAATATCGTTGGAATAAGTATATTGAGCAGAAAGGGAACTATATTGGAAAATAAAAAAAAATTTACCAAAAAATCATATATTTTTTTTATTAGAGCAAAAACTTTTCAAATTACTCGTACATGAAAGAACAATATGAGGTTTAAGTTATATTTCCAACGAGAACGATTACGTGCAGCGTAAAGCAACTACGCGAGAGAAATATGAATGCGCGAACACCTGCTCTCCTTAAAGAGAGCGTCGTGTTTCCTATAATTTTCTTTTTATAATGTAAGACGATATTTTATATTGTGTAATTTTGTTGATGACCTACAAGTCAAGTGTAATGCGAAGTTGTTCGATTTGATATTACTTTTATAATAGTACGAGTTTAATTCGAGTTTGTCATATACGTCTCATTGTCAGACGTCCTATGTCGATCCTAATGTCGATTTAGACGGGTTGTGTCCGTCTTTGAAGAGTCGTCCTCAATATTCAATTTCATGTCGTATTATATTAACGACAGAACGTCGAATTGTGACCGATTTGATATCGCTACACATTTTCGTCGACACTACTTCCAAATCGATGGACATACACAACCGTACAGATGGATTAATATATGCAGTGAGCTCAACTATAACCTATGCTTATGCCAAATGCGCACATATTTCACGTTATTTTATCTATATTTGCCCGTTATCAATCACAATTCTATATTTTATTTTTCGCGAGAGAAACTTAAGATTTTTCATATTTTATCGGGTAAATTATAAATAAATTAAACAATTATATATAATAAATATATAATG